AGACTGAAAGGACTAAGGAAGTGGTAAAGAGGAAAACAAGTGGAAGTCAGTCTCCAAACAAGGAAATATCACAGACCACTTGCTTTTCCAGACATAATTTAGAACAATAAGAAAAAAAGAAAACAGTTTGATTGCGGCACCTTCCTGTTGAAAATCACAATCACAATACTCCATGCTTATTCCCAGGCTGTGGGAGTTTAACAAGCAAGCACTGAGAGACAGAATACTGTTTTCTTTTCTTTATCCCCAAAACACAATTGGTCAATAAAGTTAGTGTTGTTCCAAGCCACCTTCTGCTTCATTGATTTTCTTCCAGGTGTCCATTCACAGATAGATGAGGTGTCTAACCCAGGGTAAATTGATGACCTCCTCGCTGAAGTCCCCCTCTGGTGCCATATGCTGCTTCCTGGGTTTAAATAATATAACCTCCACAGCTATATCTTGGGCCTACCTGCTATTGCTATCATGAGGAAATTTCAGTGTTGAAAGATGGTTCCTGGGAAAACAAAAACAGTAGGATTCTCAGAACAGGATTCTTCCATCCATTTTCAAAGTGGAGGTAAAGGAAATGCAATGTGGGGAGAGAACCTGGTTGAAAAACAATTTACAGCTTCAACCAGGTTGCTTTTGTTAAACTGTATTGCAAAACTATTGAGGCATAAAATTCACTCACCTTTGTGCATATTATCTATGAGCACTCAGAAAACTAGTTATTTTTTCTCTACTTCTGTTCTCTATGCCTTTCAAAGTTGGAAACTCTTTCTTCTTTGAACAAAGTGGTCTATTGAACTCATTCTAGCATTTTTTCGCATTTTTTACTTAGCCTCTTTCTGTAGACTGTGGATTATTGTCTTGCAAATACACAATGAGGTACAATATGTCACCATAGTTGCGAATTCACTAGTTAATTGGACTCCAGCAATTAAACAAAAAATGCTTGATTAAATTTGTGAAATTAAGCCAAAAGTATCTAAAGTGCTTGTATATTTAATGTCTAGTTTACTCCTACTTTAAAAACATGATATACTGTACAGTAGATGTAGGTAAATACAGTATGTTTATAAAATAAACACTTTAAATAATCTGGCCCCAGGTATAATCTTTGTCCAGTCTTCTGCTTCTGCTCACTTTTAAACAGTAAACTTTACGCTTCATACAATTTATGTAAGTCTTCAAATTCCAGTTTCAGTGCAAATCTTTAATGAAGCACAGTTAGTATTGTACAACACTGGGATACTTCAGCCTTTATCTGCAGTGCAAATATAATTGTTCAGTAGTGTTTTGTATCTATCGATTTTCACTACACATCCAACAAACTTTCATTTTTATATGAACATTTTGCATTTTGCTTCACTATCTAATCTTACTAGTTGCTAATTCATCCAAAGAACTATAACTTTTTTTTCCAAAATGTTATATCTTCCTGAAATTACAATCACAGGTTTTGAGAAGAACAAAAAATATTTTCAGCACCATTCTCAAAGAGAAACCATGTTTAATTAAAAATCACCACGTCAGCAGCCAGCCCTTTCTGAAAAAAGCACTATGTGTTTTGCAGGCCAGTAGCAGCCTAGTGTATTTGATCTTCAGGGGATTTGACCCCAGTGCTTTGACCTGATTTACAAAAGAATCCTCAATCAAGCAACTAAGGCAATTTTTAAAGAGGCTATGCATTAAATATGGAGTGTTTTTCATGCAACCTTTAGGGTTTATAGAAGAGAAAACGTGGGAAAATAAGTTATGTGCAATTATTTCTTTGGAAGAGCTACTGACACACATGGAACTGAGGGAGAGGAACTGAAAAAGCGCTGTTCCACAAATTGATTATTCAGACTAAAGTGGATCCAGAGATTCATCTGGTATCCTTATATTTTTATTAAAAACATTTAGAGGTAATAAAGGAAATGAAAAACAGCAACCACAAGGTATGGTCCCATACAAACCAAACCAAACATAATTCAATTTCTTTTTTAGGGAGAGAAATAAAAGGAAATAAAACAAAATCAGAAAGATGTCCTTTAAAATCAAAACCACAGCATTCACACTTGGCCAAAGAGAACAACATCTGCTTTAAATAATGCGGCATGTCCAAACAAATGATTGGCTGAAACAAGTATCCTAAATGACTTTTGAAATTAAATCCATTATTGAAAAAGTATATCTACTGTTTGATTTATTGGGAAAAAACACACATGGAGTAACCGAAACAAATATCATAAAAGGGAAGACCGAGCATATACACCTGCAGAAATACAAAACAAATCTCCATCCACTTCCACCATAAAAAAAAATCAGTTTTTATATTCCAAACAATCAACTCACAATGTAATGACCTCAATACAACAATACAACTGGAAAAGGCTTAGAAACACCTCTTGCTTCAAAGTTTCTAAGGTGTCTGGAAAATTAAATTTTGGTATTCATTGCTAGTCGTCCTTCTGATTTCAAAATGTTGCGCACTTCAGAAACATATCCGTTTTTGACATGATACTGTACCTACTGTATTAAGGAGCACAGATTCTGTAGCGGTACCTATGACATTCAATAAGCTGTTTCCATCTCAAGTGCTGCAGTGCATACTCTTCTACAGCAACATTACTTAGGTTTTAGCATTAACTATGTGCAGCACATCAATAGGAATTCCTTAATCCTGTTCCTGTTCTTTCCATGCTTCAGATCTGATTTTTAAACCAAACTGAGGAGCCCACAAAGTTATTTTAGGGACACCTGGTGTTAAGTAATTCTAAAAATAAATTGAAAAACACTGGAATCCCTGATGTGTGGAGGAATGTTATGCTCCAAGATTCCACAAATATTTTCGCAAAACACTACTCATATTAATCCAGCTGGAATTATGTGTTTGTATAAACGAAAGTGTCTAGAATGCTAGAAGCATTTTCTTTTAATAGTTAAGAGAAATACTAGAACCTTAGAAAATCAACAGGTTTTCCGGGACTCAGAATACAGTCAGAGCTCATCTATCTCGATTTCAGCAAATTCCAGCTACTTATGCAGTGCAATTGACACATGGGACTTTGCTCAGATCTGAAAGGATCACGAGTGTCTTACTGGCAAAATCCCCAGCAGAGTAATCCATGATGTAATTTAATTGTTTCACCTGCAACAAATGAACCTGGAAAAAAAAAACAAAATTTTGCAGACATATGGAGGGGTTTGTGATCACCACAAAGGTCAGTGATCTGCTTTTTAAAAATCTGCTCTTTAAAATAAAGGTTATTTTTGGAAATAAAAAAAGTACAGTTCATTCGCTATGATATCGCAGGTTATATGAAATACAAAGAAACAATTTTACCTTTCAAAAAAACTAATTTTAATTAAAACAAAAAAATCGTTGAATCATTAACAAGTTTATAAAACAGTGATTTAGTTACATAAATAAATTGATATCGGTGTATCAAATCTTAATTTCAACTTCATGAGAATGTTTACACGGGTGATGAAGTACAATCTTTTACCTATTATAATAAATAAAATGGAGAACATGGTATTTCTTTTCTAAACAAAAAAAGCTACAAACATACCTCTAGCAAGTCCTCTAATGAAGGGAACAAGAGACACTAGACAACTTTTTGCACCAAAAACATAATAAAACTGCTTTTTAAAGCACAAGATACAGAACCATTCAGCTAAATTAAAGACACTAAGTTGTAACCAAAGTTGGTTGGCTTTCATTTAATGAACAAGTTTGGTAGTTAGATCTCCAGTTTGGTTATTTTAAAGCATTAAGACAAGGCAAGATAGAAGGCTGTTCTTGTTTGAGGAATTCTAGAGGAAATGAAACAAAACAAGAAAAAGCAAATAAAAAAATAAAAATAGAACAGTCAGACCTACACAGCAACTTTCTGTCCTGCACAAAGTCAAGATATCAGCAGAATATATATGTAAATGTTATTGTGCATAAATGGAGTTTAAAGACTTCGATCACTGTGAAAGAGACGCGAATGTGGTCAGGCCAAATTTATTTTAACGTTTATTAGTAAAACTCAGTTTTACTCAGTTAGGTATGTTTTGCTTTACATTTCTAGGTTAGGAGGCACACAGCCTAATTCTGGCATTCAGTATGCTTAATGCTAAGGCTTGCTGCTCTGGCTTTGTCTCTGCTTTCCCTCTTATCTATGGTGCCCATTACGAGTGTGTGTACGCTATAAATATACCTTGTACATATATACAAAATATATTTATTTTAAATATATACCAGTCCAATCATGCAATTGAATAGGTGGCTCTGCATAGATGCCCAGCATATAAAATCACCACCTGAGCCAACCCTGAAGCAAGGCGCACTTTAGTCCTTCTGATATGTTTTGTTTAAAACCAAGCTACTGCAGCTTCAAGTATTTTGCATTACATAGAATATTCTTTTATAAATTAGTTAACGTATATTTTTCATTATTCAGACATATACTATAATATATACAGTACAATAAATGCTCTCATTCTTTCTTTTTTTTTCATTTTTATTTTTTCGAGAAATCCCTGAGAATGTATGTTGACAGTCGCTAAGTTTCCACACGCGCGAGCACGGTGTGCCATGCTTCTGGATGAACAGCACTGCAAAGCCACATGGTCAGCCTTGAATTTGAGATCTCTTTTTTTTTTTTAATCTGGATTTCATTATTTTTTCTGGTCTTTTTTACACTTGCGCTTTGAATACACTGAAATGCATGGATGAATCATGAAGGAGTAAAGCTGAATCCATACGAGGTACTTGTCACTTAGGATGGAGGTGTTTTGTTTGGTTTAAAGCCATATTTCGTCATCTTTGAGGCTGTGAATGTATACAGAAATAACAGGAGAGCTATGTGGGCTTTTGCCACTGGACAACATATACTCAGTGTAAACCAAAACTTTTTTCTCTTTAACCTCTCTCTCATACAAATAAAAGAAAACACACAAACTTCCACAACATGACAATTTTCTCTTTTTTTTGCGAACTAAACAGTTCTATACACATATAATACCGGTGTGGCTCTGTTACTGATTTTTTTTTTATTTTCATTTTTTTAAGTTAAAAAGGATACAAAGGCAGGCTCAAGTAAAAAGAAAGAGACAGAATTCCGTCAACCGAACCTCTCCCGCACCAACATCATCAGTTTCTTTTTGCCTTTGTATATCTGTTTCAGGTTATCAATAAACTGTGTAAACTGGATGTGTCCATCATGAGCCATTAAGAAGGTCTCTCTTGCCTTGCTAAGGAACTCGATGAATTCACTATAGTGCCGAGGGCTGATGTGAGTGAGCCTAGAGTGCGTGGTGTTGATGTATGCCCCAATTGTAGCGTCCAATAGCTGTCTTAGTGGGGCTTTGTCCAGTGACATTAACTTCCCAGAGTTCCGTCGACCATGAAGTGGCACCATACCAGGTGTGGTCAAAGTGCACCGCCGTAAAATGTCTGAAAGCACGGTGGCACACTTTACACTCTTTACCACCAAGGGTATGATGGCAGCAAGTTCATTTTTGCCAAGGGAGTGACTCAGAGCACAGGCCCACAACACATCGTTAATGGCTGGGTGCGTGTCCTGATTGTAACTCAGGTTGAGATGAGTCATGGCCAAAGTTGCCAACTTGTACGCCCGCATCGGGTAACCACGGTGCTCCATATACCTAGCTATGGTGAAGAGCTGTGTGTAGCTCATGCCTGTGGTAGCAGCGTCCAAAACGATCTGGTAGGCTGTCTCGAAGGCAATGTGGTCCTTCTCACACAGCGTGAGGGCAGAGAGGGCGCAGTTTTGGGGATCCTTCATAGCACACTGCAGGGCCAGTGTGCGCGCACTGCTTGCCAGGTTTTCCTGCTGATGGCAGTCCAGGTGCAGCCGAACGATGGTGCTGTTGGACATCACTGTCGTGGCAACAATACTGGTGGCCTCCGTGGGAGTGAAGAGTGTGAACCAGCTCTGCATAATGCTGTCCAACGCGTACACCCCTGAAGAACAGAAAAGGTAATTTTAAGTCACCTTTAAATGACTTTAGTCCTTTCAGTCTTAGATGGACAGAAACCTCCGTAGTTACCACCAACTACTAGAGGTCGCAGAAGTGGATATGTTAGAAGGGGACTTTGATTCTTAGTGTCACCGGAACACAAGGAGAAAAGAGACCCTTCTTTACGGGGCAGTCAACAGCATGTGGGCATGTCGATGTATACAATGCGGCAATTTGCTCGGCACTCTGGAATTCTGCCTGTTACAGTTGACAAACTCATGACTTTCACCCCACTTTTCAGGAAATGTGGGAAAAAAAAGAAATTAAAGTATAGGTAGATTTATAAAAAAACAATCGGGGGGTGGACTCACTCACCTACTTCTGTGGCACAAGTGACCAACCATCGTACCATCTCCCGCCGGCGCCAGTTTAATGTCGAGAGCGTCATTCTCATCACCTGGAAGGAGGGGAAAAAGAACCAGCTTATGAGCCGTACTTCCTGAGATCTCAATGCATAGAAATTCTGATGGAGTAAATCTATATCCTGTGTTTTTTCGGCCACTGAACTGTTCCAATTAGCCTGTAAGTGAAAGAGAGAAGCTGTGCGAGTCTGAGTGATTGGGCCGGGTAAAGTGGTGAGAACACACTGAAAGCAGTCCAGTCACCTGGGACTTGCAATCTTAGAGCAAAATTGCTCTCGTTTTTAACAACACTCTACTGCAGTGCCAAAAGGGATTCTTCTTAATTCCCGAAACCAAAATTTCTTTCAACAATTACTTTAAGCTGGCCAATAAACTTCTGAATAACATTTGTATTTCTTTTAGACTGGCCCCCAGAGCAGCAACTTACCTGAAGGCCCAGCTCCAGAGATACTTTAAGTAGAGTGATATCCGGCAAGCTATCCATAAGAGTTGCTATTTTGAAAGCATCCTGGGCAAGCTTGAAGATGTGTGACGAGGAGTGGATATTTTTTTGGATGGATTCTAACACTGTTTCTAGCCTACGACCATCACCTGCAAAAGAAGGATTTAAATATTACAAAAATAATCAAATCCAAGAAGACATTTTCCTGAACTTTATCTCACACCAGTTCTCCGGAAGTACATTTCCAGTGTGAGTACGGTTTGAAAAGTATATTTTCTTTCTGTCCAAAAAATGAAAGAAAATGAAAGAAATGGGGTGGCAGTAGTGGCAAAGGGGATACTGTTGCCTGTACCCCTTTTGTTTATTTTGTTCTGTTAGATACGTTAAAAGCAGTAAAAACTTGTTCAAAAACAAAAAGAAAATAAAAGAAATTCTGTAAAACAGACTGGAAAGGAAAAAAAAAACATTTCTTTTATAACATAATGCTCTGTGGTTGTTGCATCATTCAGATCAATGTACTTAAAAGAAGAAAAATCTGTGCAGTGCCACAATCTAATTCAGTGTATCAGATAGCAAAGTCACAGGCCTTTCACTCCCAGAGGCCTGGGCTCAGATCCAGCTCTGGTCCAGTGAAAGCAGTGCTGTGGTCTCTCAGCTGTGCCCCAAGTGGACATCAACCCACGTCACAAAACCGCAGAATAGTTTGGCACAATTTCACAGCCATACCGAAGCAAAGAAGGCTCACAACAGAAAAGCACAGTGGTGGGCGTTCAGACCAATATTGCTTAGCGTATGTAGAGCTATGAAAAAAGAGACTGACAGCCTCTTAATATTTGATGAGCAAAATGTTCATGTTTCAAGCATTTAAATAATATGGCCGTAATTCTGCAGCATGTATCCAATGTATCCAACTTTTCTGGCTGCTGTGGATGAGATGTAGTTGGAAAACCTTTTCCATGTTATTTATTTGTATCTCAAACAACACATTTAACCAGGACTGTACATGTATGGGTGGAAGGAGAAAACCATTTCTCCCGTGTAAAGTACTTCCGAAGTGGAGAAATTGAGTAACGATTAATTGGAAGATTGAAGTGAGAGTCTAGAGTGACAATCATAAACTCCAAAGAAATGTATTCCTTGGTCAAATACAAAGATTCAATACCCCACAGTATAACACAATAACACTGTCCCTCCACGATCAAGGTGATCTATGGGTTTTCAATCCAGCCCATCTCTTCATCTAAAACCAGCCCATAATTGGATTAACTGGACTCTTGATCTAAAGCAAAAATATAGTGCAACTGTAGTCATTAAGTGACACTTGGCTTAGTGGCAACAGCTTGCCTGTTGTAAATTGAATGAAAACCTGTGTCTGCTTCACCTGAGAAAATGTAGTTGGAAAGCTGGCAGACACATTCAAGTGCATCTCACCTAGATGGCCCACCTACACCTAAAAAGGGCCAGCAGAAAGAGTGGGTGTGATCATACCATCAATTCAGTTACCTGAATTCTGGTTTCTGCACACCTGATGACTTCTTACCATTCACGGAGCAACCGAAAAAATAGAGCTTCTTTTTTTTTTGCACGCTGATAATGGACAGACGAAAGGATGAAGAGAACGCTCACCTTTGGCTGCAGTTAGCATGGTGGATGCCAGCTCGCACTGCTGGGACTCAACGTGGCTCAGGGTGAACCAGCGGGGGTAGCGGTTGGGAACGACAGACACTATGTGATGGGGGCGGGACATGTCTCCTGTAGGAGCTGTGGATTCCAACACTGGTAACCTGAAAGGGACAGAAATACTTTGATATTAATGGTCAGAGCTGGAGCAAACTGCCGGGTGTCCTTGTAAATGTTCAAGGAAATCCCATATTAAAGGTTTTTCCATTTGTGCATCTGGTTTATACCAAGAGGTAAGGCGCAACATCTATAGATTCCCATACGAGTACTAAACATCCTCCACTAAAGTTAATTTTCTAAATCCTAAATTTGCTATTGGCAACAGAGCTATACTGAACAACTATATTCAGTACCGCTATGTACTCTGCACACAGACTAGTGAAAATAAAACTTTTAAATACAACACATACAACAAAAGGAGGTTCAGGTAGCCCAGCTTTCAGAGGCACTTAAAGCTGTTTGGATTGTTTTAACACTCTTAACTCACTTCTCCCATTTGAAAGTGTCTGTACAAATAAAATCATAAGAAAATCTTCTTTGCTTGACGTAATGAGATGTGAATTATCAAAAGCAATAAAAATACCCATTTGCTCACAACGGGATGACAATTATCTGGAAGATAGGATCCAACTCTACAACTCCCATTGAAAGCAACTCATATTCAAGTGCAAAGAGGTTAAACAATGTCTGATACTGAATACTACTGGGCATCATAAAATACTCCATTCAGCTGCTTTAAAAATATTCAACTAATGCCATCAGCATGAAACACCCACTCATCTCCATCTTGTTTTGTTAGCAAAACTAGTAGAAACTCCCAGGAGATCCTTCTTCATTAATCAATCTTACAAGTGTCTGCATCAAATTAGATTTGCTTAACCCTTTCAGGCATTTATCCTAAGGGAAACCAAGAATCCAGTGCATTTAACATATTTTACTAAATATTACTTTTAGTTACACAAAAGCACAGGTTTGATGGTTTTACATTTTGCTTTGCATGGTTTTATGAAAAAAAAGATCAGCAACTAGAATCCAAATATTCATTGCTAAATGGAATTTAAGCTGCTGTTCTATGACATACACTTTAGCCTGTGGATGTTATAAGCTTGTAAGCTGGTGAATGGTATGCTGTTGATTCATTAAGGAATTTTCTTTCTGGTACACAATGGTGCTGTTTGTGCACCTCAAGGACAAACACAAATTACCACATTTAGAGGGCTGTAAAAATGACACTAAATACTCACATTTGGATACTCAACATTTGGATAGAAAACAATTCGGACATATAATTTTGTACCCACTAAAAAAAAGGTCTTCTTTTTTTTGCAACAAATAACAAATATTAGACACCCCAGCTCAATATTTACAATAAAGAGATGAGCAACTGGAAATAATTTATTTAATTCAATTTGGTATGTATGTATTTTATAAGAATGGGTTAGCATTGGTTAGCATTACTGCCTTGCAGCACTGGGGTCAATTCCCACCTTGCTATCTGTGTGGAGTTTGTATGTTCCCCCTATGTTTGCATGGGGTTCCTTGGAGTGCTCCTGGTTCTGCCCCACTGTCCAACACAGTCCAATTTTGTGCATACTGGTAGGTGAATTGACTTTTGTCAAATTTGCCCTGGTGAGAGTATGTGCCTGGTTGTGTCTGTATCTGCCCGTGTACACTGATTTGCACCTATTGCTTGCTGGGATTGACTCTGGCTCCCCCATGACCATGAGTTTGACAATGCAGTAGGATGGACTGCTTTCACAGTAACATCTAAAAACCACCAATGGCATCTTCTTACCACAAACGTAATAAAGCTCAATAATATGCTTTGTCATAAACAATCTAAGAATCGTCAAGAGAATGTAAAATCTCTCATAGGTGAAGTAAGCTTGCCATGCATATTTAAACATTTCTGTGGGGTTTCCCTCACCGACAAATGCTTTATATACCATATCTCTTTACAAATATAACATTGTGTTCCAAGTTTCAAAGAGTGTCCTGAACATATCTTTTTTTGTAAATAGAAAAATAGTTGTTTGTCCTTCTCCACCACGCTTATCGTAGAAATGTAAGAACCCACAGCAAATAAAACAACCCTTATTTTTCTAACATACTGGAAATGCAAATATTCTAAAAACAAACAATACAAAAAAAAAAACATAGGGCTTAGGCTCATGATAGCCTATCACACTGCACTTCTGTAAGCCTCTTCACTGGCGAACAGCCAAAAGAGACTTTCTGAAGTTCCAGGGCAGCTGGATGGCAATCTGATTAGTTCTAAAACCTAATCTTCAGGTACAACAGCACACTACTTGTGTGCAATGACGTTCGAATAAAACTGGCAGTACAGTGAGGGTTTATTTCATTATCTTGTAATGGGACCATTTTCTAGCATAGTGCCGAACATGCCATCTAAAAGAGGGAGCGGAAAAGCATGGGGATGTGTTCGCTATCATGTACCAAAGCCCTTTGCAGTTGCTGCGAGGGAAAGACAGAATTTGCCATTGTTCCACCTCCCATGTTTCGAAAGTCTAAACTGGTGCTCTCTTCTGAGGCTGAAAGTCACACGCTGTGGGTGTGGAAGATGGAATCCACCCACAACTGCTGTTTCTTTTGCCAGTCCACTGCAGCAGCCCTTCAAATCTCAACTCCTCCTGGCTCATATCCGTTTCATCAACACCAAGGTAAAGATTTTGCTCCGGGTTCTTCTGGGACCGAATGCCACCAATGGGAAAAAGAAACAGTGAGCTGCGATAGCTCATCACAAGGAAGAAAAAGCACAAAGTGGAAAATGTGCAGAGAATACAACTGAACATTTCTAGCCTTTACAACAGCTGTGCCAGGAATCTGCTGTCATGCTCTGGCCAACATCAGAATAACCACTCGACCCCCGTATGTCTTTAGGAGTTTCAATTTTCTGAACCCAGAGAAAAACAAACAGCCTCTGGGAAGTGATTTTCAAAAAGGAGGACTCCTCTGCGAATCCCACACAAGTTAAAGCTGGGTGAATTAAGCTATTAACTCCCAGCAAGACTCTTATTGAATTCCAACATTTAATTTAACAGACAGGCTTGCGGATTTAATACTAATTCAAAAAAGTTAGGGAATAAATTTATCTTCTGTTGAAGAACCTTAAACTACGGTTGAAAGTCAGGCAACACTTTACTCCTAAGGAAGTTAAACAAAAGATCATCTGAATCACAGTTTTAAGATATATGTTTCTTTTTAACCATTGCTTTTCTCACTATTGTTACATCAGCATCATAACTTTGAAACTGAAGAATAAAAAGAAGCTTTGTGCATTAATTATGTTTGTAATAGATCACTTTTTCTTAATCTCCTTCAAGTCACACAGTTATTTACTGCAGACCTAGATATTAGTCTATGGTAGACTTAAAGGAACACAGTACTGCACCAAACATGAAAGAGTATAACACAAATCAAACTTTAGGCTATCACAGAAAAACTAATCTGGATCACCTGCTATTGTATGGCATTATGGAACCACAGCTAGATCACCACATTACATTTGCTTTATGTCAGAATTAATTCCAAAATATGCAATATAATAAGCGGACATCTTGGTCAATGCATCCAATTACTGTTGATAGAGGAAGACTAACATTTATTATTATAGTTTTATTTATTATATTATGGTGTATATTATTATAGCATGTATTTATTATAGTTTATTAAATAAACTTATAATTTATTTTTCATAAGTAGCCATTTAGTCACCCATTTCCAAACAACTCAGAACAATTTTTGTGACCAATTAGGCAGGTGATGTTAAGTTAAATACTATACACATCCATCCAGTTTCTAATCGCTTTATCCAATGCAGGATCATGGGGGAATCAGAGCCTGTCCCAGTGCACAACAGGCACAAGGGGATCCATCGCAGGGCACACACAGACACGGACGCAAACACACACGTGAATCCCACGTGAACACTGGCAGAAAACACAAACTTCAAGCACAACAATGCTAACCACTGCCCCACTGTTCCACCCCTATAGAGATCACTTAAACAAAAATCCAGATAACCTCCAACCCTCAAGGTACACTGTTCACTTAATTTCACACACTGCTCAGTCAATTGAAGAATCACTTTAAAATGTTCCCAAACTTTTTTTTTAAGGGTTTTAAGGTACACTATAAAACTTACAGGATTGAAGCTATTCAGGACCAAACTTGAAGATCCTTTTCTTAGATTAAGGACATGCTATTCTTTCTTTTACTCCATTTCAGTAATGACCGGAACGCCTCCTAGCCAATGAAAATCAATTTAGAAAAAAAAATATCAATGTGTGGCGCTTTTTTGGAGAACAAATTAGCAACTTCCAGCGAGGTGCTAGCAATTTAATCAACACTGAGAATATTTAGAAAGAAGAGAACTGTGTGGTCAACAAAGCATAGAGTACTAATGTATAGGGGACTACCTATTATAAACTAAGATATGATGATGAAAAGCTACTAAAATTCATAACATCGGTCACATAATTAATCAAATAAACCACTAAAAACAAATATACGGGAGATCAGAAAACCAGCAATTATCTATTTCTTAATTTGGAAAAAACTCCTCCATTATTACAAAAACTGAATAACAGTTTTTAAGTGGTGTTTAGAAAATGCCTTTAAGTATTACCTCAGCTTTTGAGCCAAAGAAAAAGTTAGACTTCATCCTTTCAGAGACATGCAATGTTGACTGTGCCAAACAGAGCCTGAAAAGATTTATTCCTTTCAGCACTTTAAGAGCTTGTGTACTGTAAAGGCATTTTGAATGCTATTTAGTCATCACATTTCACGGCATTTACTAGAAATGAATGTGCTTTTTTATAGTTCATGTCAATACAGCTTCTCTAGCAGGCCTGTAATTGAGCAGATGCAGGCCTTTGTGTAACAAGGAGCTGAACACAGGTCACTTTCTATTTCTAAATTCAAATCTTCAGTGAACTGCATTAGCTTCTGGAGTTATTTAACTTGACAAGCCCTTAAAAACATTTCCGTACAGATCCCAAAATGCCCAAGTGGCTTTAAAAACTTTCCAGCTACCTCTTGTAAGACTATCCATACCAAAATAACAAGCCTTTTTGTGAGGAGAACTTATAAAGCAGGTAATTGTTCGAACCACCATGGTAATCGCATCATACTGCTATCCTGTGAGACTGTTACCCATTCATAAGCTAGAAAAGCGTAATAGGTTTCCATTATACAGATTTGCAGAAAGAAGGCTGGGCTTATTTGCTTTAAGGAGAAAATATAACGGCAAAAAATACTTAAAAAAAACAAAACAGCTGTTGGAGGTTACTAACTGAACTCTTGCTACTCTTAATAGGTATTAAGCAATAGACCAAAAATCTTGCTTGTGTGCCATTGGTATGTTGAGGCTAGACTCGGTGCAACATGCAGAATGATACCCTTCATTGGACAGAACAGAACAATCAATGGGCAGGTCCAAGTGTGAGAGTGTAGTGTGCAGGATTGTCTATTTGCTACTGAGCAGGGATGAACTGTGGCATCCAGGGCTCCAAGATCAGTGAATAGGCAAAGGCTTGTTCAGCCTCTTTGAGAAGAATGAGATAGAACCCCACAATAGAGCATCTGTAATCAGTAAGTACAAATGCACAGCTTGTACTACATCCAAGGGGTGGCCGCACATGCTACTGGCCTGTGACTTTCACAGCAGACCTCCTGTTGATCAGGCCCGTTGATGACAAACGTTAAACAGCACAATGAATATAATTGAATAGACATGACAAGGTAAATGTCAGCGTGCCTATTACAAAAAAGTGTTATTTTCCTGATAACTTTGGTGAATTTGTTGTAGACAAAATTATAGGAAAAGGTTGCTCAGCTTTTTTTAAAACAATATCTATAAACAGAATGACTTGGAAATGTGACGAAATTCCCACAGTCCGTCTTAAAAAAAGTACCTGTCTTAGAAAGCTCAAGCTCCATGGAACTATTCCAATTACCAGATTTAGTGATCCAGCTACTTCTCAATATGCATCCATGACCTGACATTCTAAAGCTAAAGTGCTGCCCACAGGAAACAGAAATGACAAAGCCCTTCATCAAATAACATGTTCATGGGGGGAGCACTTCCAAAGAAGTTGAACTTTTCGCGGACGATCGAGGGCTCAAACCTCAGTGACTGCCACCTACCCTTTATACAAATTGTTCAAGTACACCAAGCGACAGATGAAAGTCGCTTTAGATAAGTGTGAGACAAATAAATTAAATCTATAATAAAATGAATCTATGATTTCATATCTCTAGGTAACACTACCACAATAACCTATACAGAGCAAGATACTGTATTTCTTTGTATGACCTCATCCTTGTTTTCAAATTCCTCACATTTCAGTAAAATGTAAAGATTATTATTAAAGTAAAAACCCTGTTATTTTAGACACATAATTGAAGAGACTACATTCCCATATATTAGAATCACCATGCACACCATAAAACATGCCCAGGGACAAAAAAAAACAAAACTGGTAATTACTAAAGCTGTAGGGAAAAAAAGTTTTGAATGCTATTTATTCTGCCACAAATGGGGTGTCTTTATAGAGAATGCCCGTGTTTTTAATTCAAATCTAATTTAGCCCTTAAGGGAAGAATGAAATTGTAATATTTAGTGAAGTATGCTTACCTGAGATTTAAGGAGTACAGAACTTATTTTATGATTATTAGAGTTTTAAAATTTAAACACCACATAGAGAACCATTCATTATTGCTTAATGTTTTTGCATTTTAAGGAAGTTCAGAGGAAATAAAAGAAAATGACTAAACAAATCCTGCCAAGAAAAAAACAAACAAAACTTGTTACTGTGAATACAAATGTTGCCAGAAGTCTCCCTGGTGATGCAGCAAAGCTTTAAAGAATCTAATATTAGCCATACATCTTCACAAGCTGCTTGTTTCTGCCTTGATTTTATGATGATCAACTGTAAAGCAAACGCCAGTGTGAATGTAAAAACTGCAGCACATTTGAAGCCCCTGAATTAGATCCAATGCGACGTATTTATTATTCACACATTTTCTAAAAATCTCATTTTCGAATCCAATGAATTATTTAGCAAGATTTCAGCACAGGCCGCTTTGTGATTAAACACTGCCCCAAATAACCCCCCCTGAACATGAAACTCAGAAGAAAAGTATTCCTGTTACTAAATTAAATGTGTCAGCCTTGATAGGGCAAATGGAATTTTTCTAGTGTTAAAGTGTAAATACCCACCCCGCAGCAAACAAACACACACACACACACTTCCAGCTCCCTGGTGAATTCACACTCTGCAGGAACGAAAAAAAGGTGAGCGCAAAAAACTCACCGCATGGCTCTCAGTGCAATTTTGTATGCCAGTTCAGCATCGTGAGGTAGGAGAGAGGTGAAGAGATACTTGGCGAAGGTGTGCATTGGAACGCTCTCTCTGTATATGATTTCCCCCAGACCACTGTAGGGCCCACCTGTTCAGGAGACAGAAGAAAATAAGGATCAATCTACTGAACATGTACAATCTCGAGTTTCAACATTTAAGTCTTGAAAGCACTTGATTACTTCTTTCCTTGATTTAGTTTAGTAAGAACGAGTTAACTTTTACAATCAGGCATAACTCAGCTCTGCGTTCCTCTGCGTTTTTAAGCATTGGTTACAAAAGCCTGGAACTTCCTGTGTGCACCCTATGGCCAGGGACCCTCTATGAAGGAGGCCTCAGTCCGAGGGTTAAATTCCTGTGTCAATACTAAATAAATGGTGCTTCCTGAGGAATAAAGAAACCATTGGAAGCAAGCTTTTCACAAAACTTTCATTTTACTTTCTGTGCTGCAGAGCTTGAAGCTGTGAAACAAAGCGTCATATAATTTGACTGCCTCAGACACTAAGAAGCTTTTTGGCATGATATTCCCCAAACTCTTTAACAGAAAAAAAAGCAGGCTGGCTGCTGCACGTGCAAGGACAGCAGTGCTAAGTGCGTGCTATAATCCGCTTACCGGTTAGTAGGTTACTTATTCTCTCAGATCAGATAAGGCACAGGACAGTTTAAATTGCACAGAAAGTGTTTTTTGACACTTGCCTGCAGAATAAACTGCAATACTAAAAACCATATGTGAAGGCTTTATTCCACTCTATAATTAAATTATTTTCAATTGAACATGCCATGACCACAGGCCACATCAGAGAGCCACCGCGGAATTCCACACTGCTGTCAGCCTTTGCTCAGGGGAGGCTCTGGATTGAATAATCATGGGAACTTAATTATTCTTTGACCCTGTGGTGGGTGGTCCTTGCCGACAGAGGATAAGGCAGTTTTGGCAGAACACTGAAGGAAAGACTTGTGCCTCTCTGGTATGGTGTTTGTACATAAACTGTTGTTTATAGCTGAATTTATAGCTGACAGCTGAATGGTGTCAACAGATCCACTTGTATTTGTGCTGTATATGGTTTTTTGCTCTATCTTAAGAAACAACATGGCACTGTTTCCATGTTTTAGATATCCATGTTATTTGTTGGTGTATGACGACAGAGGAGATAAGACACAAAGGGGTAATAGGGGATATGCTCGCCTTCTGCTCCATTCCTCATTACACAGCAAACAAAAAAACAATGTATTGCCAATATAAGGAAGAAAGGGTCCTTGCGTGGGGGCCGATACTTTCATTCTACACAGGCCGTCAGTTTGCCCTCACCCTCTAACAGGAAGACTGCTTGTTTTCGGAAAATCTTGACGAGGGTGTCATCCAGGTCGATCTCCTGTAGCTTGGCGATGAGCTGCTCCTCGTTGCGGCAGACCTTCTCCTGGGCGTAGAGGCCATCGGGCATGATCCTCTGCTGGCCAAGCCCCACCAGCGCCATTTCCACTGCCAGGGTCAGGTACGACTCTCCCTCCTCCAGCAGCCGCTGTGTAGGAAACTGGAAGTCCCCGCTCTTGGACTGCCCCATGGCATCTGTGACAGACGACGGGAACATGTCAGGAACGAAGGTGACACCCCCCCCCCCTCAACTACTTTACATGCCATCAAAGCAACTTGGGACCTCTAATGATCAAGGAACTGCAAACTGAAGTTTAATGCCCAACCTGAGGCAACTTGCTGATGATACAAAAAGGTGCTAACGAGTTAGTTTTCCCTAAAGTTTTTTTTCCCTCCAGCTGTTTTAAATAAAACTCTAAGCAGGCCCGCTGCAACCTTATGAACGCTGTCAACAAAATGTGTAAAATACAGGTGGCTTTGGTTGTCAAGTGATTGACACATTCGCATGACCTGCAATTTTAATTGGCTAGATCACGAATATATTAAGGCAGAATATTGGTTTATAGTCTGGGCAAGAATCCAGCAGGGGAGAGAAGGAGGTAATCTTTATACAGGCTCTATAACACACATGGAAAGCCGTCTGGAAGTCACATTAAGATACACTACAGACACATGACTAACCCAGCCCTCCAACATGGCAGAGCTTCTGAGACTCATGTATTTAGATGTGCAATTGCCCTGATTAAAAAAAACTCTGAAATTAGGTGTAATTTAATGCACCACAGCAACATACCAAGCACCTCTAAAATGTGTGATGCCCCTTGACACCTTCAAGGTTTACAAAGGAATTCGTCTGTTTTAATTGGCTGTGAAGAAGCAAACCTCTTAACGCCCTGAATACAGCTGAGACAGGAATGTGTTGCCACAATTAAAATGGGCAATAAGTAAAAAAGCAATTCAGAAAACCCAAAATAAACACATTGGTGTATGAAACATAAAGCATTGCAAATGAAGCCAGTGGCTTCAAAAATGTTTGACTACAACTAGTGATAATATCTTCCTAACAGAAATAGCTTTAATTATACCATTTAAATAGAGCAGGAATTCTCTCAATTTTCTTTGGACACAATAATTTCCAGAACAATACAATACTGTTGATATGTTTTTCTGTACTAATTATGGTTGCATTAATTATGGTGTTTAATTTTTACCATAATTAATGCAACCATTTAAAAATATATATTTGAGAATAGTTGTGCTCTTCCTAATAGAGGTCATTTTGGTTATTCACTTTCAAAGAGTTTTTACATAACTTACAACTACAAGGTCAATGACACACAAAATTTCAATGTAATTATTTTTGTTTACAACAGAAAATATCTAAATACATTTAACCTGTCAAATCAAGGCACGGTTATCAGGAAATGTTCATCAAACCTTTGTCAAGAGTAATTACAGAAGTGGTAATAATAAGCATTATAAGCAAGGTCACATTACTGGATAAAAATTGTTATTTATTTTTAACAATGCAAAGGACAGTGTTCCAATTTTTGATCTGCCACTTGTTAACAGGAAATGTTCCAGTGTTTGACCCATCAATCAGACTAAATTGTAAGCTATTTTAAAATCAGATCAGCACAGTTTTATTCTTATGCATCCAATGAATGCCAGAATGTTTTTAACTTGATTTTTATTTCCGAAAAACAGGAACACATACATTGTTGGGTGAGAGTAAATGCAAGTCACAGTGCATGTCTGTCTTATTTGTAATGATGCAGTCTCTGGTACATGATGAGAAAGTGTGGTACATTAACACTAGACTCTTTGTTGTCAATTGTGTGAATGTTAAATATTCCAAACACGAGGTGTATTTTGTCAATAAAGAGGTGATAGATTGATTGTACCTGGTATTTACCCTGTTATTCACACAAATTGCATAACTTCCCTTTTGTAATCATACTGCACTTCGTAAAGAGAAACTGAGCTTTTTAAATACATTGGATAAGTGATAAATTTTGTTTGAAAACCCCACAGACTGTATACAATAATAATATTATTGTATAATAATATATTGTATATATATAGCAAATAGGTCGTAATTTTGAGATAGCTGTAATTATGATGGTTTCTCTTTTATCAACTGGACTCGACAACAACAAATAATCTGAATGACCACTATCGATTGAAAATCAAGTGCGCAAATAAATCCCATTAGGTATAATCCAACAGCACTTCAGCAAAAAGGTGCTATTCTTGGATGCTGTCATCTTTTAAAACACTCCTGCTTATTTTTTGTTACTCTTTCCAAAGAATTTTATTATATTTGTAAAGCACCTTGACAGTCGTCTTGTTTGAACTGTGATTTTTTCAAAAATCTAGCTGCAAATTAGGATCAAGCATGTGTCTTGTGAAACAGATGATTTAGGATCAAAAAGCAATATATAAAGAGGTACCATGGTTCCACAAACCATGGGGGTTTATCTCCAAACTCTTGCTTTCTTAGTCAAAAACAATCCAGTTTGCAGTAGAACAACTTCAGAACATGTCCAGTTGTTCATAAGAACTGTTCATGTCCAGTGTTTTCAAGAAAGAGCACAATACTGATTGCAAACCCCTAACTAATATTCTATAATAGGATATATTCTCCATCTCAAAATCTTCATTTTTGCAGAGAATTTATAAGAACTTCAATTTCCTACACTTCAATATTAAAGCTTCTCAGGCATGTTTTATTCAGTTCTAAGCTAAATTAGAGCTTATAAGATAAAATAAATGTTTTAAATAAAATGTTACATATTTTATTGTATGGGTAATATAGGAGCTGTGCAACAGTGTTTGTAGCGGTTTGTCAGACAAATTACAAGTGTTTTTCCCTAATATAGCAATAAATACAAATTTAGTCCTATTCCCTTTTCATGTTAGTATACAAATGAAAGACTAAACTTTGCCCAGTTTAGTCAAATCACAGTTCAGGGAACGCTAAAATTTCAGATTTCATTCCACTAAAAAAAAAAGAGATGGTAACTTCAACAATGACAACTCCTAAACTCACTAAAATCTGTAACAACATTAAGAAAAACAACGATTTAATTTCAAAACAAAGAGGCTGACATATTTTTAACCACATCAGCCTCTATTTTAATTAAAAAAGGACCTCTGGTTTCACATCTCTTTGGAAGAACTACAAAGAGCTTATGCAGCAACAACAGAAGGGAAGTCCAATTAAAACAAACACACTGAGATATAGAGTTAAAGACTCATCAGGAGTGGCCAATCAGTAGAGGACAGCCTAAAGGCTGTAATAATAACTAATTACACTACAGTAAGATGATTGTGATACAGTCATATCTTCAATCAAACCTCATGAATAAGAAATAAGAACAAAAACATTAAAATTAAAATGCATTAAAAATGCAGCAGAGAAGATTTAGCCTAGTTTTCACAGTTTAAATATACTTCCTTCTTTCATTAATACTTTCAATCTTTTCTGCCATTGAACGCCTTTCTAACTGCCCCAACGGTCATTCTACCATCTCCATTCTGATTAAATCTTTTCAATATATTTGTTTCTGAGGGTCTCTCTTCTATCAACAGTCAATGGTGATATTAAGGAACCATTAAGCAGCCATGTTAGTTTGCATTAATTATCTCTTCTCAGCAACCTGGGAGGGTGGCCTTCATTGTCTCTTTTCCAGAATTCCATGGAAAATTTATGGACCTCAACATCATAAAGTGTCTGCCCAGAATCGGAGGCAAATGATGGTTCGGTGATGTCTTGCCTTTTCCTACGAATGAGGGAGATGGGGAAATTATAGGAGTAGGCTGTGTAGGCCATACCTGAGAAGTCAGAGAAGCCTGGGGCAATGTCCTCATCCATTCGGCAGCTCTCCATCAGTGTGCTGAACAGAGTGCCAATTGGATCCAAGGGGTGTCCCACCCAGCCCTCGAGGTTGGTGACTGATGTTACGCCTTTGTGAAGCAGCTCTGAAATAACAGGGAAATCAACTACACAGTTTTTTTAAGTAGTTTTTCATGCACTACTCATTCTCGGTGCGTATGAAAATAAGCAAACCGAGGTTGTTTCAGGAGAGCCATTGAGAACAGAATTATCTGCATATGACCCATAGACCTGAGATGAAGTGAAAAGTGAAATATTTTTCCTTTTAATATCACAGCTCACCAATACATCTGGTTCCATTAGACTGTCCAGTCTCAGTGTATTTTTCCCATTGTGACTAACTACCTTACACTTAAACAATGCATTTCTAAATTGATATTCAGACACACAAAGACTTGCTGTTGTTCCACAAACGTCTTAATAAAACTGAAAAAAGTTTGGAAGATCTACAGTAGATCTGGAAAGGATTGTTTTAGACAGCACTGCACCAATTGGGACTAAATGCCTGCTTTCATGCCAATCTGGTGTTAATGAATACATTTATACTTAACAACAACAACAAAAAAACAAAGGCAGCTGACTTCCTTTATAATATCCAAGGCAAATGGTCTCAATATTATGTATTTCTCTGCCACATCTGAGATGTTTGCTGCAAACCAAAAGATATCTTTTTCCTCTCAAGTCTGCTCCTCACAAACCTTTCTTGTGTCCCCGGAACAACTCCAGCTGTTTCTGCTGCTGCCTGCGCAGAGTGTTGACGATGGCGATGGCCAGCCTCAGTGCCTCTCTGGGGTAACCGTGAGATCTCAGTGCATCCACCCTAGCACAAGCTGTGGGGACATGTTCTTTAACAGCAGAGAGAAGGATGGAAAAAAAAAGGGAAAACAATGAGGCATTAGATGGAACAAAGAGCAATTCTCTACAGCAAAAAAAAAATACAGGCACTTATTTCCAGCAGTTCAACGGGGCTACTGTTCCCATTGGCAGAGTCCTTTAATTTTCTTTAACCACCCCCTGCCACCTCTTTTTTTTTTGCTTTTTTCTTTTTCCTCTCTTTCTTTTTTTTTATAATGCCATAGAAAAACTGGACAAAGAGGCAAGTCATGCAAATGTCTTTCCGGTTTAGCCACTTACCGTGCCATAGGGGCCAACCGCGAGAGTCAAAGAGTGAATTTTCAGTGTTGTCATGGTAACAGTAGTTGTTGTAGAGGTCACCGCTGATAATGTGCTGCAAGTGGCTGTCCTGCCAGTGGAGATCGCACGCTTCGATGGCTCGTGTGAAAACAGTCCGGTGAGGCCTGTTGGCTGAATCTAGTGGTGGAGAGAATTAAGACCAGGCATATCAGGCTCTTGTTGTTTTTGGCCTGATAATAAGAGCCCTATCTTCTTTCAGTCTGGGCTTGGCATTCCTCCACTTTGGAGCTCTTCAGGTTGTAATAAAACAATACCTGTTTGTTTTGAGCAGTTGCTTTTTATTATTGTTAAATTTTTTAAGACCTCAAAACCTGTCAGCTTGAATGCCAAGGAAGTTAAACAAAACCCTGTTAAAATGCCAAAACAAAATAGTGGCTTAAAGACTGATACCTATTTCAGGCAATGAAAAGCTTCAGTTATGTTGGAAGATTTGATTAAATGAAGAACCAGGTTCTCCACTTCCAAGATGGAGAGAATTTACAGATTTAACTTGAGCAACCAGATTTGCTCCTCAGCTTTTTTATTTAAAGCAAACATAGGAAAAATGCAAGATGCTCTATCTCAAGTGGAAATGCTTCAGTAGTCAAAATCTTATTCAGCTGTACATAACTACAGATAAACAAATACCCACCTCAAAAAGATGATTATCTTCCTAACTGTATTTATTAGGACACATCCGAGTAGTACAAATTTAGAAATGAGAGCTTGGTAGGTCTCTAACTTTGCTCAGAATTCTGGCTTCTCTGCTACAGACAAAAGTTTAAGCTCTTTTGCTTGAGGAAATTTTCCAGGTTATTGGGATCTTTCCATTAGCCCTGCAAAGGCTTATAAAAGCTGCATGAGTGTAACGTGCTGGACTGTTGATTAAAAGAACTAGTTTTCTGCACTTAGCTCACCTTGGTTAGCATTTGCACCCTGAGGCAAGGCATTGGTTAAATTGGGCAGCTCGTTTCCATGGTTACCATCTTCCCAGGGACAAACATCCACACTGTTCCACTTCTTCAGTTGCCTTAGCCAGCCTGCCTTCTGTTCTGGCTTGCAGTGAGGATTTAAGACTATGCACATCCACAGGGCACCTGGGCGTTTGGAAAAGTGAGAGACAATAATAAAAACTATTATAGCAACAAATGCTGCAAAAGCAACAGGGGAAGAACAATACTGGCGGGGGGAAGATAAAATAACCTGAAGCCTGTGTTAAGAGCTATACATTCTTCATTTCCCCCCCTTACTCTCATCTCTAAGGTCTATCTGGAAATCTCAGGTTCAAATTGAGGTGTTCACTCAAATTTCAGATGGCAAGCCCCTAACGTTAGAGGTTATACTGCTTTATGCTGCTTAACTCTATTATCTTGCTGGCTGTTCCCAGGGCAATTTTCTCTCACTTTCAAGTGCATGCTGAACTGCATCAAGGGCTCATACCAACATATCTATAAGCCATGTTCAAATTAAGTTTAAAAAAAAACTTTTAGTACTAAGATACTTCAATTAAAAGGTTCACAGCAGTGCTCGCTACAGCCAGCAACGTCAGTTCACCGCAAACTGAATACTATAATAAGCAAGGGCTCATTAATAGGAGTTAGTCTACCTCTATTTCAAAACAGTCGAAGGAAAGTAAATCTTTTCCGACAAAAGAGGGGAAAAAATTGCCCTCTCTGCCCAGACTCATACCTAACAAATGATGTGGATGTGTAAATACATTCCTTTCACAATTCAGATATGTGTTCTGTCTAAAAATGTGTAGAATACAGAAGGAATTCAGAAAACGGCTAATTAAGTGGGATTAATCCTTCTCAAGTAGGACTGAAAACAGGCCAGGCCACACCTCTGAACTCTACAGAAGCTGCACAGCTTTAATGGTTGAGACGGGTAAAAATAATTAAGGTGACTATACAAATAAGCTTCTCAGACTTGAATATAGACATAAAACTAAGGTTTTTGGCGTCTTTGCATTCCTAGATGTACACTTCATACAGTTTGCTGGGCAGACAGCTAAGGTAGAAGACAATGTAAGCCCGTTGTGAAAGACATTATGAAAACAAGGCTGTTTTTTCTCGTTGTTTTGTCTATATTGATATTTGTTTTTCACCACTCAAAAAAAAATTAAAGAAGCCAAATTGCAAAGACTTCTCTTGGTGCCTACCGAAAACCGCAGGGAAGCCAATTGCTTAGGAAAGGCCATTAAGTCTTTATTAGCATGTACTGTTACCAAGAGGATGTCTGACACCAATTTTTCACCACCGAGCTCCTGGGCCCTCCCTCCCTTTGTTTGGAGAAAGTCAAAAGGAAACATGATTTGCACCACCATTTCACACATCCTCCCAGTCCCTGGGCTGCCCTGTCTCGCATGAGTAACAGGGCAGCGGTGGCTCTGATCCGGCCTCCCAGGACACAGACGAAACACATCAGCCACCTCATTTCTGTTAGCTGTCACTTTGCGAACCTGGACTGTGATGGGGGAGACGGCACAGGGCAGTACATTTCCACGAGGAGAACGTACCACTTCGGAGCCGACTCGCTTATTTCATCTTTTGATAACAGCTGCAGTACGCTAATGGGGCAAATCATCAATCCAATGTTAAAATGAAATGCAGTAAAGCGTCTCTAAATAACAATAAATATATTAATCTAGGTCAAATTTAAATGCTGGCTGTTTTAAAAACGGCAACATGGTGTTACCGGGCTATAATTATTGCAGCTTAATGTACTTGGTTGCAGGCAAGCGAAAACATTATCATCCTCAGTGAATGAAAAGCATAGAATTGTTACAACGAAGGTCGAAAGCAGTGTACTGCTGAGAGAATAACACTGTCTTAGTGGGGTGGCTAAAGTCTCAGCCTAAGCACACGCTGCATCTTATGAAGAAACCAAAGGAAAGCAGGTAGGAAGGGCACTATCTTGAGTGAAAGGCACACTGTGTGTTGGCATTAGTCCCACAGGACATGGTCTAGAAAGGATAGCTATGATCAGGCTTTGGCGAGGTGATCACTTTGGGACAACATACCCTGCTCCTCTCCACAGCCTTCCAGAGGTGTTTGAATTTTCTGCATGTACAGCCATCCCACAAGGAACACTGACGCTGTAAGCAAAGGTGTCGGGGGGGGGGGTATCATCTAATGTTCCATATTAACAAGATAGACTGAAATATTTAGGAATCCTACTCTTTTGGGCCCCTGAGCAAGGTCCTTAACCCCAACTGCTCCAGGGGTGCCGTATAAATGGCTGACCCTGCACTCTGACCCCCAGCTTCTCTCCCTGTCTGTGTGGCTCATGGAGAGCAAGCCGGGGTATGTGAAAAGACAAATTCCTAATGCAAGAAATTGTATGTGGCTAATAAAGTGATCTGATCTTAAACTTCCTGTCAAGAATAACTCTAAGCTGTGTAGAGCTCCTCTCTGAAATCACAAGGATATATTTTAGGGACATTGTGCTACTAGTTAACTATTTCTTTAAAATTGAGGAAGCAGTATCCGTCATTTAAGCTTTGATTATAAAATGGATATGTACGAGTCAATAACCTATTAGGACAACACACTTAAAAGGATTCAAGCTGCAGAAAATATTCTTTAATTTCAGCTTTCTGTATAGTCCCTCTAGACTCCAATTCAATTGGCCAAAGTCACACACACTCCGCCAGAACAGAGGCACGACATCAAAAGGGCATCCAGTTCTCAGGTCAGGAGTTCTGCTACTGTACACACCCACTACTCCTTGAATTTGAGGAATTCCTGACTGGAAACATGAGCATAGCCCTATGCTCTGTTTTAGTAAGATACGCATTTTTCCAGGGAGAAGTTTCTCCCTTGCCATTGTCTTGTGGCCAGAGGGCGAGAATTTTTCTCTACGTGATTTTGTAAAAGCAAAGTTCATAAAGAGCTCTGCACAATGCAGTTAGAACTCTACAGACTTTGTTTTAGCATGAAAACACCCATGATGAGAAGGAAGCAAAGATATCAAATCCTATAGTTATTTCAGGTAAGATGTGGATAGCATTCAAACCGAGTTCACCCACTGAGCTCTATAATGTAACTTACCAAAAGTGGGAGCAAACACTTCAGTACATATGAAGACTAAAAACGGCAATTAACCAGTTTTCAGCAATTCCACTAGACAACTATAGGAACACCACATATCTTACTTTGAAATATTTAGCCGCACCAGAATTATCACCACACTTCAGCTATTGCAATATATTATTTTTCCTTTAGTCCTTACTAGTGGGTTCTGATAGGACAATGCATGACTTGGTCATGTTTATTATGAGTAAGATGAGTGACATTTTATTTAAAAAAATGTACTTTTGAGGAATTTGTTAACCGTTTGCTCTTACCACAAAGCAGCAAAAAGAAAAAGATAACCAAAGGTAATTAAAAAAACAAACAAATAGGATATCACTTCTCTTTTGGCTAAAGGTGTAATTCATATTAGCTTATTTAAAGTACAATATTTTTGTTTATTTTAGCAGGTTATTAAAGTGTCAATTCTTAATTTTTTCTTTATGTTCTGAATTTCTTCAAGAAAAGCTTGGTCTTATCCTGATGAAAATATGAGGCCCCACATTTTAAAATCATATGATGCACTTTCTCAAACTGTTAGATCAAAACTGGAGCTTGAAATACTGCATGATGAAAAGGCAGATCTACATTTTTTTTACATTATTCTTGTACAAACTACGCGTGAAACAATACACCAGATATACGATTCCTTGTACAACACAAACTCGGTTTTCTAATTTAATGAGCAGTGTCCAAAAATACCCCACAATGAGATGGAGTGAATCTTTTTGATTATTTCCTTATCCTTCTACACATAGTCCTTCTTAACATAATGCTTTAAAAAAAACTGACAAATTAAAACACTAAACCAAAGTTACAGAATTCAAGCAACAAGCATTTTTGTGTCAGGAGATCTTTTATTAAGTGCAATACTTCTAACTTGCAAAACCAAGCTATTCTGACTAAACAAGACAACTATAAATGAACCATTATTAATCTGCAAAGTGAATCCGGACTGAAACTATTAGATGTGACAAACAGAGAGGAATTGCAGCCTGGTATGCAAATCTCACCTTTCCAAAAGATAATTGGAAAATAAGTCATGCTGTGCACTGCAATTTGATATTAACACCACAGAGAGATGAAGGTGAATTCATTAAAATGAGGAGACATTCACAAGCTCCTAAGAGAAGGTGGTACTGGGGCCTGCAAGTTAAGGACCGGAATAAGGTGACATTCATCACCTACGTTCAGGTCCCAGCTCAATCAAGACATGAAAAAACATAAATGTGCAACTTGGTTTCTAAAGGTGACATAATTTTTTGAAAAATAACTAGCTAATTTGCAAACAGTTTTTGGTATTAAACGAAGTTTAGTTTCTTGCTCATGGTAACAATGTTCAAATATATGGCAGGCTAATTAATTTGGCATCCCTGACAACTATCTGCAATTGAAAGTTTTGCAAATTATTTTTTTCTCCAGGCATGGTAAAAACAGACATTTTTGAGTCCAAAAATTGTAGGAAATATGTAACAGCTGTGAATAGCTGTGCTGCTACTTAGATCTCTGCTAGGACATGGATGAATTACTTTAAAATGTTTTTTTCACCAAACAAAAATAGGAATGAATTATAAAACACATTAAAGTTTCTGTTCTCACTCAGAATTTAATCAATTACCCTCAATAATACACAGCTGAAGAGACTTATTCCATACACGGAATTCTCCAAATAAAGTGCCACAAATCATTAAATGCTGTAGCACTCCTGACATAAGAAAACTAAAAAAAAAAGACAAGACCAGTTTGCCTGTTTTGCTTGTTAAAACTGCCTCTCCTTCTCCCATTCTCAGTTTTAGATGCACTTCGCCTTAGTTACCATTTGTGTGCTTGGTTCATGATTCACTGTTGATTCTGAAGAAGTCCATTGGGTTGCCTTTGAGGAATTTAAATACTTGAATCTGGGACCCTCTTAGTCTTCTTTGTTCAAGACTAAAAAGATTAATCTCTTAAAGCTTGTTAAGCATTACTCAATGGAACATATTCAGTCCCTGTCCTCTGGTTTGAGGATTTGCTCAAAATTTGACAATATTCTAAATGAAACTAAATTAAAATCTGTTCTTTTAATTATTTTTAATGCTTCCCCAAATTGTCTTGATGTAAATGTCAACACAAGCACCTATGCTTTTTTCATAAACAGATTCTTAGGGCTCACTGTTTATCATGTTATACTTATATTTTAATGTTTGCTACCTGTATGTGATGCTCTGCAGTAATCAAAATTAAATATCATCTGCCAGGTGTCTGCTCCATCTTCAATTCTATCAAAATCTTTTTGAATTTCTTCTGTAGCTTCTACAGATGTACAAAAAAGGGTATGCTAATCCTCCTGTTTACAAACTTGATCAGTTGATGCACGAATCTAGATCACTGATATAAAAGAGGTAAGTAATATTCCCAAAACATATCCCTGTGGTTTGTCACTAATTACATCTCCCAAATTGTAGCATCCACATTATCTGTATACACCTTTTTCAAACACAAAATCCACTTCAGAGTTTTTAAGTTTAGTCCTGTGGTGAAAACATCATAACTTTTAATTTCAGAAAACTATGTACAATAACAACATACAGGAATAAATAAACAACTTCAAATCTTAAATGGGAGCCAGTCATGAAAATTATAAGATCATGATACTTCTGTGTTAGATTATCTTAATCTAATTCACAGTATTTTAATACAATAATACAAAAACTAGAATGATCAACATTAAAGGACCAATACAGGCCTTAATACACGACAGCTCTAAAACATCACAATAATTCATAATTAACAGTACAGCAATGATTTATACGGCCATCAACTCACAAAAATGCTATTACAAAATTGGAAATGCACAGAATGTACAAGGGGATTCACTTTCTGGTTGTTAACTAAAAAGGGTTTTTGCCCAGAAAAACAGGAGTGCTGTATAGCACATAGCAGTTATGGATATGACTGCAGAAACTGTTCCTTCCTGGAGCCTCTGCCAATACACCGAGGTACAGTTTCACAGACAAAAGAATGTTTTATTTTTGCTCTAATTCATTCTATTTACTGAATTAAACTTTGATGTATTGGTCTTGACGTGTGTTTCATGCTGATGGTATTGTGTATGATAGTTTAATCACTCCCTGTGCATTTCACATGGGCTGCATGATTAATGCAATAGATTACCTGCAGCACTGATGGGGGGTGGGGCAGAGAGGGAGAGAGAGGTGGGGGGGAGTGTGTGAGCCCCAATGTACTTTGCGGAATCTCACTGGTTGAGATTTCTTTTTAATTGCGGCGTGTTCTTCTGAAGGCAGAAGGTGCATGCCACCGCGATCCTGTCACTGCCAATTGATCCTTGTGTTTTGCTCCGCCGTGATGTTTTTTTTTTTTCAAAAATGAGGCACCGCATCTTTTGCCAACCCCCAGCAATGGAGAAGGAGGCACACGGAAAAAGAACAAAGCCGACAGAATGCATCGCTCTCGCCGAGATACAGTCTAGACTGACTCCAACTGTCTTCTGATTATATGTAAACACTCGATAATCCATATAAAGCCTGCTACCTTATTTCTTCGCTTAGCCCAAAAATCGGACATTCGGGACCCGCTGAGCTCTATAAGCTGTAATTCATTATAATGAGATAAAGGTAAGCCACATAAGGATAGGGGAAAGCGAAAAACAAAATTACTAGTAAACAATTTCTGCTTCTTTTAACATAGGTTCAGCGGAGCATAGATTTCTTTTCCATTGTTACTATTTAGAACTAATTTTCAGACAATAGCAGGATTACCCTTCGCAGGAATAATTAGGTCAGTAGGGAAAAGTCATGACCTATTTCCCCGCCCCCCCCCAAAAAAAAATAACCTAGATTCGGAAATGGAAGATGCTTATTATAAAAAAAACTCAACATACATTAATTAAAGCAATATTTAACTGTACAGCATCCCAACGTACAGATGCCACTCCTCATTTTCTCTTGTCAAGCCTACATTGAGAATTCCCTCCTCTGTTACAGTTTTGCCTCTAAGCACTCATCACACACGGGCACAAAACAAGGCTCAAACATTGTCACAACGGATACATACGGATTCTTTTAATAAATAAACCTTTTAACAGGCAGAGCACTGGTTCTGTAATTTTAAAACAGATTAAATATCACAGAATGCACTTTTGAAAAGTAAAATTAATAACCACGAGTGGCACCCTGAATTTGAAAGCAGGCAATAAAACATTCTTTTGTTTCCTAACAAAGGAGAGATTTCATTGCGGTGGGAGGGACCAATATCTTGGGAGCCCTGATAAATCTGTTACAGTAATCTCTCTGTGTTGACAAGCTGTTGGGTTTCCTCATTCCGCCAAGCCATGGACACTCGTCTCAGATTCTTCTACCTGACTGCTTTCATCAGATTAAGCATTGGGGATTTAATTTAACAGTTTCAGCTTTATTAAGCTGTCATGAGAACGGCCCAGCTTTGATAACAGTAGCTGCTCCAATTATGGCTGGGTTTTAGGCTGACAAGTCTAATGATTCATTCGCTAGCACGCAGCACAGCAATAAAATGGTTGTTTTGCATTATTTATTTATTTTTTAAGATGAAGTCACCGTCATCACCCCTACCTTTACTGTAAATAGGACTTACAGCCTTGCAGTAACATAGTGAACCACAGATAGTAAGTTTGTGCACGTCAATTCCCGAGATGAAATTCTCCACGCAGCAGGCAGTATGTTGACACAGGACTGAGATGAAGAAGGGAGGGAAGAGAGCAGCAGTCTTGCTGTGGTCTTCAGCGACTGTATTATCCACGTGGCTAAAGCGCTGGTAATTTCACTTCACACACTGACACCCGCAGCAAACGCCAGTTACAGATCCTTCTCAGAACTGCTCTTTCTGCTCCTGTGAGCCTGCAACTGCCCGAGTGCATAACTCAAAAACTACAGCTCTGCAGCGATGCTATTCCTTTGCTAGTCCGTAAATGTAAATCTTATTCTTCAGTCCAGCGTTCCCCAACCCTTCTTCTAGTTGCTTAAAAAACAAAATAAGGACATTCATATCAGAACCCCGTGACTGGTGAACACGAACAGGTTATTGCTGAGGGAGTAAGACATCAATTCTGAAATTTCTGTACCCAGAGCCCCAGACACTGAGCTATTTCTTAACAAAAAAAATATCAAAGGCAAAAGAGTAAAGGGGAAGATTGATCTCCTGGACTTTTTTTTGTCCCCAACGTTACATAAATCAGAATAATCTCTGCTCCAATGATAAGCAAGCATAAGTGAGAGCATAAACCCTACACATTCAATTCAGTTTGGAAAATGAGAAATTCAATGCTGCCTGCGTTGAGAGGGGGAGGTCAATAAGCACATTCCATTTCTAGCTTGTTGCCCAATGGACCTCAAAATGCTTTAAAGGCTAAATAAATAAATGAATGAAAATTGTTACTGGATTGGATCTGCTCCTAGTAATTTACTTCCATGCCACGCTTTAACATGCACTTCGAAAATGCCCTTTTGCCACATATTAACCATTTATAGCAAGAAAATGGATTCTCTCAAAGTAGAACTTCTCTGCTACCTCCACTATTGCTTTTTAATTCCCTTATCCAGGGTGCTTAGATTATACTCGAGCTTCATCACAGAACTGTTACAGGGCAATCTTCTACGCTAAGCAGCTCTTCAACATACAATACAGCATGAGTTTCCACTAAACAGCTTTTCACAATACTGTAAAGAGTGCTTAGTCATAAACTGGACAAAAGATTTGAATTTCCATTGTCTCTAAAATAAAAATCACTTTTGATGTCTGGTAACTTCCAATTGATGTAGTCTTTTATATGTTTCGGATTCAATATAATTGTAATGGTGTAATTGTTCGGATTTTTAGTTTTTCACAGTAAATGCAAAATCAATCTTCAAAACATATATAATGTGGTTAATAGTTATCTAATGATTTCATACACAAATGCTTGACTTTAAAGCAAAAATAACTGTTTTGAGGTTATTGCCCAAACACCTTTGGAGGACACTGTAATTCTAACAACTAATATCACAAGTACAATGTCTATTAATAGAATTAATAACAGCAACCTGTTCTCCACAAGATACATGAAGACGCTGTATTTTCCAGACCTTCTTAGCTACCCTGATAAAACAAGTTATTAATTATGCCAGACCTACTCCAGTTACTGGTGTTCCCTATTCTTTCTATGAAGACCCAACCTACCATCCTTCGAGCTATATGATTAACCTTTTTTAATTAATGTCAGTTGATTTAGACCAATTTTATCCCAATCTTTTAAAAATACTGCACCTTCTCGGCATTATTTAACAAATCCTTCCTCCTATCAACAGGTTTAGATCCTCTCTTGTAAATTCTGGCCTATGTTCTGCAGATCATCTGAATGCTGGCCATGATGGAAGTTATCCCCATGCACAGTCTGCATTTCAAGCTGCAGTCACTTCCCAAATTCATTCCTTCAATTACCCTGAAAGCCCTGCACTGCAGAACACATTGCTTAAGTTTTAATGAAAGGATCATTACTCAACTGGTCCACCAAGGGAATGGAGCTTATGCTATTGTACTGGCTAAGCAATGCCAAGCCAAAATTGACAAAATGTCTCAAGCTTTAAACGTTGGCAGGCAGTGTGCTGTAGCAAGCCAGCTTCTATTAAACTGAATGTGCATCCTTCTTGTTTTGCTTAGAGGAGGGGAAAAAAAGACATACAATACACGTGCATCTATTACCTTGCTTATTGTGCATTTCATAATGGCACTTCTAAACCAGTACAATAGTGTGATTGTGTATGTCTGTTCCTATTCGTTTTTAATGTATTCCCATACCGAATGATCTGGAAAAAAAATGTTTAATGCTTCAAGAATGTGCAAATTCAAAGTGCCATGTGCACCATGGCAGAAGAATGACGAGACGGATATTTCTTTCTTGTGTTTGGACATTTTGTGCTGTATTCTTTTCTTCACAATTGGTGGCATTTACCTAATTCGTCCCAGAGCTGCCTGTACTTGTCAGTCATGGTGGTGCCTTGCTGCCTCCAAAGCGAAAGGCGAGGGTCTGCCATGAACTGCTCCGTTATCAAGGTTAGCATGCGCGCACCATTAGAATCCCTCATCTTCAGCATCTCGCGAACCTAGCAAACACACACACCGCTATGAGCAAACAGGTCAAGAAATGCAGACCCCTGCACGAAACGTGGAGGTCTGTCTAACAAACATAATTTTTCAGACATGACGATTCTTTTGCTTATCCACTGTCAACGGGCAAACTGCAGTTAAAAGGCAACATATCTTCCCGTAACAAATGAATAAGACATAAGGGCATCAAACGTTCATTTATACAAGTCTCAGCAAACATAGTGCTCTATGTTACAGAACTGCTCCAAACAATACTAAACAAAGCAATAAGGAAAAATCAACCTTGGCGCATGACAAAACTCACGCAATATTCCTTTGGAAAATAAAAAACAATCTTACAAAAAACATTTCCTTAACATGCCTTTATTGTATTTTAAATGTACCTACTCATATCCATTAAGAACAGAACTGAATGTTAGATCATTACTAGCTAGGTTTTTCAGCAATTACACCTGTTGGTTTTCTGCTAAAACTCAAAAGTGAGTAGGAAGAGTAGGAAAAACACGTATTGTTCTGAGGCATTTAAGGACTAACAGATTGTATCCTGCAGGTTAAAATTGTAGAAGCCTCTTCTCCAGTACGACCCCAGATGCTGTGGCATTTCTGCAAGGGAGTGCAATTCTGGAAAATGTCAGCTGCGCTATCGACCGGGTGGGTGAAGGAAGCGTGTCGGCTGGGAGAGACGCATACCTTTGCGAAGAGCAGGTTGAGCTGCTTCCCAGACCCATGGTACCCTCCCTGGGAGAGGAAGAGTTTTACTTGCTCCTGGACCTGCTCTTCGTCCAGGTGCCAGCAGTTCTCGTCGTCTATACTGGCTCCTGCCGTGGGGTCGGGGGCTCCTGCAGGGACAACGCAGACACAGCCTTACTCACAGCCTAGGAAGACAGAGGAGCCCCGGTGCTACAAAAGTTATCCTGTAGGGCCGCTGGATGACTTGCAATGTTTTTTCTTTACCAAAAACACCAAAAAGAGTTGAGGCATTTCTGGCTTTATTTTAGTAAAACCCATTTTATATCATTCTATAATGCATTATAGCGTTACAGATTTTATCCCTTTGGATAAATTCCATGGTAAATTGAACACTTAAATTGCATATACAATAGCTGCTGGGTTTATTATGTGTTTTTACTTGTTTTCCACCTTTCATATCTGTCAGATGTAGTTCAGTCTATTTTCAGACAACAGTTTATGTTCATACAATGTCAAAGCATCAGATGATCTCAGGAAGTAAAACAGCATAAAATATTACAGGGAAAATATACCAAATTCTATTAATCAGATACATTATCATAAAAACTGCACAGTGAACTTCATATTTTTGAGCTTATGGGTACTGTTGTTGTTACAGAGACTTTAGGTTGCCTTCTTTAACAATCTCCACCATTTGACTTGAAGATAAAATAACTGAGCTTCAAAACCAGTTCTATTTAATCAGCAGGACATGGTGCTGAGGAACTTTAAAATGCAGCAATATATACAGGTGGAAATAGAGTACAACAAAAATGAAAAACAACGAGGAAAAAGTTAAAATCATCAATGCTATAAACTAATCAAGTTCAGAAACCATCATCAGTTTTATATATATACTGTATACACATAGTAGAAGATATACAGTATATACACCATGTTTGTATGACTTGATAACATCATGTTACAAATGTAATTCCTTTTTGGTCACTACAATTGAATGTAAAGCTATAAAGAGCTAACGGTACAAATTTCACTTAGATGTAAATCCTGTTTAGGCCTGCCAGTAGTATGTCTAAGGTAACTCACCAATTTTCCAAACTTCCTTTGAACAAGCCCTGACAAATGACATTATTATATATTTTTTCCATGCTTCTCACACCTCAACTTTCCGATCTTGGATGGGCCAGTTTCCGACAACGAATGGCAACGAACAAACGTACCATTCCCACCACGCTGTACAGAGGAGAACAGGATACACAAGACAAGCGCAATGTGTTCCTGCCTGTCCTCCTCTCACCGAGTGGTAAAGATCATTGTGGTTTCATGTGCTGTAGTGTTTCAGTCCAAACCAAACATCCACACCAAGGCTATGGAAACGTTAGGGTCAGCACAGCCTTGGGTCCCAGGCCAATATCAACTTCATGCAAACAGGGGTCCAGCTGGTATTTTCCCAGTCCTTCACATCGACACACATCAACATTGAATTGTTTTAACAGGGACAGTCACCGCGACTTCTTCTGAACTGCTATAACATACAGATTCTGGAAGTCCTAGCTATAAACTGTGAAATAAGTTATCAGACCGGACATGGAAAAGAGAAATTACATGCAAGTTACGGCAGTGAAGACTTTCCTTTTTTAAATTACACCTAATTCATAATCATAATATGACAGTGGCAGAAGCAGTTTCAAAATTCTATGTATTACTGTTGGGGAAAAAAAGTGTAAAGTATAATACACAATTTAAAAAAAATACTAATCTTGCTCTAATGGCCTTCAGTATACAAAACATGGCCTTTTGTGGAGCTCTGTAATAGTTACACCAAGAATAATCCAATCCAATGCTGTCAATGTCTGTTTGTAAACACAATTTGCACCAGTACCAGGTGTGGGTAGATTTAAAGGTTTAGAAGGAGATTATCTAAATCAATCGCAGCAACCTCTTAGAATACCTGTGCACAATACGTTTCTAAAGGGAAAATCAATTTCTACTAATCCAAAGATGAGAATTACTTAAACTGGAAATTATTGTGCTTTGCACATGGATTTTAATTTTATAATAAGATGGCTAAACTACTGAATACCAGACTATTGGTAGACCAGTAGGTTTTCACTGTCCCTTCTGGGCCACAATTTCCAAACCAATTACTCAGTATGGTAAGGGAATATATTCCAGTAGGAAGCACCATCCTTTGAATGAGATTTTAGTTGGTCATTAGATCTCATAGCACAGTCTGTATGAGTAGGGGTGTCATTCTTTAGTCTTGGATAAATTCTACTCTGAGGTTGAAAATCTAACCCACCTACAATTATCTGTTAATTAGAAAGGGTAAATTCTGATTTTCCCACCCAACCAATGTTGCAGATTTGTCAGCCATGGTGGGTGCTGTACTGGTCATTGATGGTGATGCCCTCCTAAATGTAAAGCATCTAATTGTGGTCCTTGGGGATGAAAAACACTATCAATACAAGTATTTATTATTAACCAAGTAAAATGCTTTCAACTATGGTTCTACAGTGTCCTCTTATCATAAATCGAACAGTTAATGAGTTGGGATTTTTTACCTGTGATTGCATGTCTTCAATAACAAGCAAAAGGCTTGGACCCCACCAAAATTGTTACAATGTGTTTGTACTGTACACAATTACAGAATTATATTTTCAATTGAAATCATTCTTTGATTATAAAGCATTCAAAGTTGCCTTTTGTAAACACTATATATATATACACACACACTGTTGGGGAAAAAAGAAACAACACCTCCTCCTCCACACTCTGGCCTGTCTGCGTTGAACAGGCTGAAGAGTGACTCATCCGGGAAGAGGACCTGGTGCCACTACTGACGAGTCCATTAGTAGTGTCCAAGCCAGTCGGGTGTGACGTCTAGGAGGTGTGAGCAGAGGGCCACTGACAGGTTGCCTTGCTCTAAGGCCAGCAGCATGGAGCCTCACTTTTCTGCCAGTGATGCGGCCATTGTGTCTGCTGGCAGTTTCAGCAGCAGTACGGGTAGCAGAACTGAAACGAACTGAAACTGTCGGCCCTGCTCTGTTGTGGTCACTCGAGGGGACCGGATCTTGAACGGTCATCTGTCCTGCAGGTCTGCTGAAACCTTCTCTGCAGTCAGGACACAGTGGAGTGGCTTACTCCATAGTGGACTGGCAACACTGGCACATGACATGCCTGCCTGCAGCATGCCAACGGCCCTCTCCCTTGCTTCTGGTGACAATCGAGGCATTATGGAATGCACAGAAAACTGACTAAGTGTGGCCCTTTTCTTGTACTGACCTAAGCTTTGAATTAAGACCTTTTTAAAGTTGACCTGTCAGGCATTTTTCCACCTGGACCTCTTGGGTAAAAGTGTACCTAATGAGCTTTTGCGTGATTGTTAAGTTGAAATGCCTCACTGCACAAGCTGTATTGCTGGTCAGAGGACTTAAAACAAATTGACAACTTTTTGTGAAAGTACATAAGCTATAACTATAGTATTCTCATTCCAGAAAATGTTGCGTTTCTTTTTTCCCCATCATTATATATGGCACCTTAAAAAAAACAAACTCAGAGACACTGAGCAATAATTACTTCACATTTTGTCTCCTAAGAAAAGTGCATTCCCAGACATCCACTGCACTTCACATGAAGTTGTCCAAACACAAAGGACTTGGAACCTGCATGCTTTTTTTAAGAATGCAGTTCCTGATTCAAAAGGCATGAAAAGAGACCGAACAGGCAAGTTGAGGGGTGTCTTCACCCAAGATCTAAGAACACTGCGCTCTGTTACACCGCTTCAACACAACTGGATAGTGGCGATAGAATATTGCAAAACAACAAAAGCAGGATATCAAGTTATTCTACAGCTAATAATGCTCTTCAATTCACTCTAGACTTGATTTAAAAAATACTGCAATCCTCTGTAGTACCGTTCCACTGAACAAAAGCTTTTGAAACACTGTACATGTGCCTCAGGGTATTCTGAAAAAAGAACAGTTTATTGCACATTTACCTTTTTCAATAGATTTTTAAAATTGATACAGAAGTATTGCTCTCGGTAAACCTCTCTATACCTTCAAATCACAAAAACATCTGAACTTCAAGGGGCTCCGTTTTACCCAGTGGTCCCACAATTCCCTTTACATTGGTTACATTGTGTCAAAATCCAAATCATTTACAGCAGGTGAAACATCTAACAAATGAAGTACATACTTCAATAAGAATTCCAAAGCAGAATAACCCACAGACCAAAGTGCTGTGATCATGTTTTATACTAATATATAATTTCCTTTGTACACAAAATATCTTTTTATTTTGATGATCGATTGTTCAATAATCAAGAGATACATCCAATTTGCAAAACAAACAATATTAATTATTTTTTCATAGCTAAAAGACAAGATTACCCCTAATATAAATGTCTCATGGTGGCTTGATAAAGCTGTGCACATTTACTTTTCAATTTCAAGTTCAATCTGCACCTCTTCAACAGCATTTTCTATTTACAAAAGTAAACATAATGTACAGCTCAACCTTAATATTCCTCCAGATAAAATAACACTTAAATGTTGACATATTATTGCCCAAGTTTCTTTTACAATACATTTTTTGTCAAAGCAGACATGAAAATGACAGTGAAACAGGACTAGCGATTCTTTTAAAATACCTGCTTACATAAATAAAACAATCATACTGAATTTCATCATATTTTGATTCCATAACCCCTTTCTTTCTCGACCTCCTGTAAAAAAGGAGGTTATGTGACACATTCCATGTCGAAACAATTTCATGGTTGATAAAATCATGCTCTGTAGTGGAATGACCACAAAAGGGTCTGAAATATGAATGTTTTTCTTTGTATTAAAACCCCAATATGCTTCCTAGACACTTTTTTTTTTATACTGGGAGGATGAACGAATATCTTAGTACATATTTTTAACATTCTACTGTGCTTTTCAGTGAAACATATGCTTTCAATGTATGTCTATACATAAGCCATGGCAGTACAAAGTAACATATTTTAAAGACTAATTAAAACCATATGTTGCAATAGCAATTTGTTTACCTAAAATGTAAAATCTAGTACCAAAATACTGGTCTCATTCAAAGCTATGCTATCAATGAAGCAGTTAATCAACAGGAAGTTGCTGCATGACTCTGTGGTTAATGACTTGTTAATAAGTGCACACAGAGTTCATGTTTTAGAATATTCCCCTTTGGTCCCCCAGAAAGCCAATGTTTCAAAAGGAAAAAGAAGCACCTGTAGAATGCACAGAACAAAGTACACACAAGCAATTTAAGCAGAGTTTTCATGTCATATAAAGTCCCTAGTTGTTTATCTTTGCAAATGAAACAAAACCAAGTATATATTTATTGCTTATAGTTATTCTATTACTTCGCACACAGACCACTTTTAAAACACACTTTGAACCATTTCCCAAATGTTCCATTCAAAAGCATACCCATACATGTAAAATCACATGAAAACAATGCATGCAATTTGTTTATATTTTCTTATGATACTGCACGTTCCCAGTAGAAAAAAAATGGGCAAAATGACTTCTGTAAAAGACTTCTAAGTGACTAGTACAAACTTGGCACACATAAGGCACTCTCCCCCTGCAAAAAAAAGATTTTTTGAGCTCTGCAGTGAAAACAGCTCAGGTACACACTCATTAAGGGATACACTTACATGCAACACTTTTTCAGGGGATCTGCAGAGTTTTTGAAATTCTAGTATTTCAAATTATAACTTTATAAATCCAATGTAGAACAAAAAATCTAACATGAGGAAAAAGACACCGGAAACCATAGATATTATTTACAAAGCTGACTTAATATAGGAGTAATATAAACATTGGGAATATTTCTGAAGATCACAGCCTTCACTATATTAACCATTACACTTGCCATCTTGTCAGCTGAGGAGCTCAAAAACAAACACCTCCTTTAACCATCTTTTCTCAATTTGCTGAAAAAATGGATTCTAAAGGCATGTTTACTTAAAAGAAAAACCAGCTCAAAAGCAGACATTTCGATTCCATGGTAAAGCTTCGGCAACAATTAACAGAAACAGGAATCCGGCTACGTTTGCGGTGCTTTTTCCAAAGGAAGCATGGCGTTCCGGGTGACACAGTGGCGCCCATCATGAAGAGCCACTGAAGGAGTCATGGTGGAGGGTCTGTTGCGAGATGGACTTGTTCCTTGCAGAAGTATTTCAGAAGTAAGGGCTTCACGGCACACAGCCTAGGCAGTAATCACATAACTGTACCAGACTTTAAGATTCAGGCTGAGATACTAGTACAAAGTTATTCCAGGAATATCTAACAAAACATATTTTAAGTTCTAAATCTAAAAAAGGGAAAAAACTAAATGAAGCAGGACTAATCGCCATCACCAGCGATTAAACAGGCAAAAGCAACACCACAATAGCTGTCACCTAAGAAACAAAATTCAATATTTCAACCTCATTTTAGGCAAACATCTTCAGACCTACTTTTCACAGCAGCTGAGATTTCTTCAGAGGCAACCCACACACCAGTGCTTTCCAAGATGCAGTGTTCTTTCACTGCCAAACTCGAGAGCTTGTATGCATAGAGCAGGAATCTTCACAAGAGGACAGCCTATTATTCTGCCTATAAAACGAGCCTGTTTCATTTAAACCATATCCTCACTGTGCTACCACCTGAAATCAAACTAAATGCCCTGAAACAAGGTAATTAAATAAATGTTTCCTGCTGCTTTGCGTACATGGTGTATGCTAATTTATTATGTAGGTCAGACAAATTATCTCTATTGATTTAAAAGGGTCGGCAGTCTGTGCTCCGGTTCAATGTCTATTTTAAATCAATGGTTCAACATAATCTGCAATTATGTAGGTGTGTAAAACCCTTCTATCAAGAAACACAAATATGTGTACGACAAGTGCACGAACACACCTCCACCCCTGTGCCAAACGCAACCGGACACCTTACCATGTACTTGATTGATCTCCGAGTTCTGGGAAAGAATTTCATCTGCTAGTTTCTGGGCAGTGGGTAAAACCTCTGTGTGATGCACCGTGATTAAATACTGTACAAATTTCTGCAGTTGGTCTCTGTTCATTTGAAAGAGGGTCTCTGAAATGGGAAGATGCAGTTTGACCTGATCCGGCTTGCGGATCCGGTATAAAGAGAGTGCTACAACGTGGGCACAGTAAAAGATGTCCTTGTTTCCACAGCTACAGGTCACTGAGGTAATCTTGCAGCGGTCAAAGCTAATGGCCACATTGCAGACAATTTCAGGCTCCGACTGGGAAGCTGGTTCCGTCACTGTGCCGCTCAGGTGAAACCCTGGAGGAGAGAGATTTAAGGAAAGGTGGTTAGCGCTAGGGGCGCAGGACCTGGAACAGTGATTAATTCACAGCACTACAAATGAAGCGTTAATAATGCAGGCAGTCATTTAAATACCATTTGATCTTTTTCAGCAGCAGTTCAAAATGAAGCAGAAAAAAAACATTTATTGATAATTGTACAAAGGAGTGCCGGTGCCATATTAGAGCATCATTTTATCACTTGGAGACAGCAATCTAGTAATAAATAACAATAACAATCAAGGACAAGGGAAAAATCTATCGGCAACGTACGATGACTCACTTGTGTGGCCATAAAAGAGGGCGATTTTTAACAGGACATGCACATTTATGACAAAAGGTTAGGTAAAAAAAAACTCAAAATGCACATACATTAAAAAATAACTGAAAATTTTATATTTAACAAAAGTTTGATCCTTGAGATTTACCATGATTTGAAATAACAGGAAATGCTTTCCAAGGAAGTGAGTATGCATTCAAATATACCCCAAACTGTCAGCTCTTTTATATAATGGTAATAATAACCGCAAGAACAACAACCAACTATTAGAGAACCAGAAGAGCGCTTGTGATTACTGATATTTCCACAGGAAACGGGACGAGAACGCAGTTTTGATATATTTCTAATATGCTATGGCTTGTGACATTCACATGTTTCATTCTTTCAAAACAAGAGGTGCCTTAATAGATTTAATTAACAGTCAATTTACTGTAGAAAAAAAAATCTTCCCCGCTGCATTGAAGAGTGAATGATTAGAAGTACAGTGCATATGCTTAATAGGGTACAGACATAGTTAGTATTCAAGGGATTAAATAAATGAGGGATTTAAACAGCTTAACCCTGCAAGCCCTTTTTATTTAAATCTCCTTGGCAACTCTGGAACACTGTGCTGATAGCAAGAAAAAAAATATAATCACCATGAGACAAGCTATCATAAAGAGGCTTGTCTTAAAATTAATATTTAGATACCTATGTTTAAATTGAAATATATCTCATACAGTTTCAGGGGAAAAAAAAAGTTTTGAGGCCAGACCTGTAAATCTTTAAAACTATTAACAGTTCAGGTAATTATACTGTGCTCCAATTAAACTAAAACTAAAAGTACTGTAAGATATAGGCTACAAAAAAAAGATTTTAAACCATTTTATACAATAGGCTAGTTTAATGTTTGGAAAGAATGTATCAAAACACTGCAGCTTAAAGCATATTCTTGTGATGAATACGAGCACATGATCCTAATGTTTTCATTTTCCTCTGAAAGCATAGCATTTTAGTTCATTCTTGCAAATGACGGCAGAGCACAGCCACAAACAAGGCCTGGTATTTCAGCCTTCACAAAACAGCCATGAAAAATAGAAATTGCTCAGGTCTGTTTTGCCATTGGTAGCTATTCTCAGTCTGGGAAGCAGCGTGATGCTCTGGAGACAGACAGTGATATGGTTGTTCCCATGGGGCTGCAATACAATGACATTCCACTAACCAGGAGAACACAGGGCACATGAAGAGCCCACACACCTCTCACCTAAAATCACCCAAAAGGCTTCCAAGAGCGAGTTCAGAAAAAGATCTCAGAGCTGACTGATACAGTCAAGAATGCAGCTTCTAAACCATGTATTTAAAATATGACCATGGCTTTAGTAACCAACAGAGGAAAAATAACATTACAGCAGCTGTACTTTTGTCCCGATGATGATAAAATACCCCATCATAAGTAACAAATACATTGTCATAAGTTTGGTACATAAAATTGTTGCCATGCACCTATGATAAGACTACACGGTTTTAACATTTTGGAGTTTTTGTTGGAAAGTGTCCTTAGCCTATGTACACTATATCAGAGATCTCTCCAAACCATAAGATCATGTGCTATGTAAGCCCCTAAAATCATATTACAAAGATTCAAATTTGGATCTGGAAGTTGAGTGTTAATGCAATACATAACCGAAAGTGAACCAATTTAACATAAAATACACAGTACACACACGTAAACACTCACTACACACACTGAATAAACTGTTCCAAAGGTTACAGGACTTCACAGGCTATACAATATTTTTTACGCTTATGTTTACGGAATGCATAGAGAAGTGATTAAAAATAAGAGTCTTCACATAACGTGGAGCTCTATTTGCAGGCAGCAGTTGCACTCAATCGGTAGCTTACTTTACACCAACGAATACTCAACTTTGACCCTGTTGTGTGAAGTATGTAGCATATCTGCATACTAACATTTTCATATACACCTTTGGCTTAAAGATCTTAATGCCTTTAAGATCATAACCTTATGTAATAACAAAAGAACATGCTTCACGCTTTAATTCCAGTAATATGGTTTTGAATGTATCCTGTGTTTGACAAAATACATTACAGAAAATAGAGAAAAACTTAATTACTATTTACTGTTTAACTGCTGTTTGTAGACACAAAACCTTACTGTGTTTATATCATAACAGTTATTTTAAGAAGAGCAATATGTTAATTATTATTTTGAGATACTGTACAGATAATTATCCAAATGATTGTCTTTGGTTGTACCTGGAACTGGAAAACAAGATCATATAGTATTTTATGTACAGCTTATTTCTAAAATAGCAATTACATCTAGATTGGGCTCAGTGAGCGTTTCTCAAATTCACTGCCTTTGATCTACATGCCTCAAATTGTGCCAAAGCTGGGCTCAAACAATACATGATCGACTGTCTTTGTAAGTCAACAAAAAAAACTACAATCAAGTAGATCACTAGAACCACTTCTGCATTACTGCAAGCCTCACACTGTCAGATTTTCAGAGCTGCAGCTTTTATTTGGCAGAACAAATATGCTATTGTATAGCCTTGCATGCATTTAGTACTGGCCTGCATTTACAAGGAAATCCCCAAATGATGCCTCATTGTCATTCCAGTGCATAACATTATGAGGGGTTTCATTTTAGAAATGCTTTCAAACCAATGTGCTGCAGTTCATGTTTTGTGAACGGACATTGTAGTCTTGGCAGACATAGGATTCTAATATGTAACGCGTCGGCTGCCATTTTTAAAAAAGCAGAATTTGGTCATTAAAACCATGACATCAAAACATACATCCAAGCTTCTTCCGTGCATCATAGTGCATTACACTTCACCTGGGTCAGCAGTTCCATTCCAAACAGATGTCCTAAACTGAAAACAATCATTTTGCCTCTCAGCCATCTCCATGGATACAAATGCAAGTAATAAAAATAAACACGCGTTTAAACGCCTATTTAGACGAACAGTGGCAACATTTACATAATTCTACTTTTTAAATCACCAATCAACTGCAACTTGTTAATTGAGCCTATAATTGTGTTTTTTTTTATTTTAATATGCGCAACCAGTAATTATCAACCTTTCTGTTTTTCAAGCCTATGTATGAGTAGGAGCTTTGAAATTCCATACATAGATAATTACCGGCAACTTTCCTTCTGTTCTTTACTTTTTTTTTCTCCGATCGCCTCCTCCGGCTCCACAGCGAAGGAACCCCCCATCCCCTTTATAAAAAAGCACGTATATTTAACAGAAATAGCCTGTATTTGAATGTCCTTTTCTCCCCAGTTCTTGGCAAGTACAGGAGACGAGGTACCAATTTAATGAGCTAGAGGTGCGAACCGAGGGTGTCGCGGGGGAGTGAGGGAATTCTCCTGAGCGGTTGTCGCTTGTAAGAACGGCATCTCGCGGACGGCTCGCCAGATCTGCGCCATCTGTTTCCCTGGGTGAACGCAGCCTCTGCACATCCCGATATTCACTAACAGACTGGGAAATAATTAGCTGCGCCTCCTCACTCCACTGGGTCACTCCCTCACTTTTTTTTTTTTACCCCTGAAGTGCTGAGTAAGGGGGAATGAATATTTACACGCACACACCCTCTCCCTGGTTGTGGTGGCAGACCATGGATGGCGAGAGAAAAAATACAAGAAAAAACAGCCAAGCGGTCTTGTATTTAAAACAAAAACTCCTGAGTTTCCAAAAGAAAAGAGCTGACACTGCCACTTACTCTTGTGCATGTTATTCAGAAGCCTGAACTGAAACTTAATTACTGTACTGAAGTGTAAGTAAATGTGTATATGTATGTACATGATGAAGTGTAATATCTCTACAGATTTAAACATATTTAAGAGCATATTAGCATTGCAACCTCTGTTGTCTGGAATGTTACAGAGCATTATTTTTCCAAACCCGTCAGGTAATAAAAAATACACACAAAAAAACCTGATCACTTTCAGTGACTGAATTAGAAGACATGGTTCATTTTTCAGATATGAACGTGTGCTCAAATTAGATCAAATTAGATGCATTAGCACCTATACAAAGATGAGGAAAGGAACCAGAAGAACATCAGAAAGGCAAGGAACAGTTTCTTCCTCCCTTACAAAACAAAATATTAGATTCATTTGTATCACTGAAACAGAAAAGAATATCACTAACCGTAACTCACTAGACTGTAAAATGAACCAGTGTTCAGCTTGCTTTGGAAGAGTAAAAAGTTCTGTCACTGTATGCAAGGCAATTAATTACATTTACCTATGTCAGCAAGCAAGTAAAACAGGGAACATTATCATCCATTTTATCTGGTATTAAACACTACCATTACGCCTTAAAATATGACCTATCATCATTTTGCATGTGTCAATTTTTCAGAAACGATATCTCCCATTACAATGACCATCTGCATTATCAGCACTCTTCGGTATCTTTTAACAGCATAGGCAGAATACCCTCCCCCCCATCGCTTAAATACTGTACATAAGAGACATCTCAGAATACAGCTGCTCGTCTTCATTCTATAGATCTGCAGGCTCCATAAATCATTAATCTTTGTCACTGCCACCCTCAGTTACTCAAACCACACACTGATTGGGGGCATCACTCTGAACTTGTGCTCCAGTGGGCTCAGCAAATGTCTCAAAATGAAGGCTCCTAGCAACAAATTAGTCCTCAATCTATTAGCTGGTGTAGAATTCT